ATACTAACCTGACATTTCATTGAGTAGCTGAGTAAACAACCTGTATAATTGTTATCATTGTAATTTTTCTAGAAACTCATCTGTCATCAGAATATATAAGTCAGATTTCTAGATACATAGAATAGAGGAAGAGGGGAGAAATGTATTCCCAGTCACTTAAAGAAAATTTTTCATTCATACATGTGACATTTTTTTATAGCACTTATTTGTAAAGTAACTTATGAAGATTGGCGGTGCATGATTGAGCTCTGGGTAGATCTCTCAATCAGTGCAATATCTGAATGTGACTTCGTAACTTGTTAAATTTCCTGACCAGTGAAATAATGTAATTACAGTATTCCCTTCTGAATGTCTATTTGTCATATTTATTTCTTGTTTTTAATAGACATTTAGAAGCTGTGAAATATAATTAAGAAAGTTAAAAATTAGGATTTTTAACAGAATAACAGTTGGAAGGGATCTTGGAGGCTTCTAATGGTCTAACCCTCTGCTCATGCCTTAATGTATTCTCTTTAGGTTAGAAATAGGCTCTCCTCTCTTTAGCAATTTACAACTCCAGTTTCCATCTGTCTGTCTAGCAGATAGATAGCTTAATATTTACACTTCCTTCCTTTTGACAAGAAACTGTAGTTGGCAAATGATTATATTCATCCAGTTAACTTTGGTCTAGGGCCTTTTTTCATGCAACTTCTAAGACTTGCTACTGGAATCCACACAAGTACATTTCATTTTTGCATGCCTTGGCAGGAACAGAAACACCACAGCTCTATTTTGGAATTAGCGTGATTAAAAAATAACCACAATTGCTCTAAGATCTCATTATGGGGTGTTTAACTGACCTTGTAAGGAAATCAGTGGTGGATATGTGTGTGACTGAGGCATTCTAGAGTCACAAGGCAGCCAAACCAGCTTGCCTCCTTCCTACTAGTGCCCAATAAATATTGAGGCAAATTAAAAAAGGAGGCTTTAAAACTTTCCCCCAAAGTATTCATGTGTTGATTTTCTCCTATGAACACTCATCTAAGTCATTTTAAATAGTTTTTTTTAACTAGCCAGTGCTAAAACTAAAACTGTTTGGGTTTATTTATTTATTTATTTTTAAGTTATCTAGGAGATATTTGTCAAGAAAAGTATGCATGTTTGAATAAAACACACTATAAAACAAGTGTTTGTTTTTTAGTATACCAAAAGATACTTGATTGTTATAGCTGCAACCATCCAATACACTTATCCCCTGTCCTAACCCTCTCAGACCCTCCTGAGACCTTCTGTGACTTACATGTGGCCTATCCTGGCCTTCCCCTAATTCTCCCAAGCTCTTCTCCCTACCCCAATGGCACCCCGTTCTCCTGGGACTCCCACCTTTTCCCACTAAAATGATCCATGTGTCTTGGAGTTATGACAGCAACCAGTGACATCATACTTTACAAATACATTACTTCACTTAGCAATGGCAATCCTGATTCCAATTGTTGTCATAGCTGGGGCTACTGATAATGTGACTACCTATTATAATAGGATTACTAGTACACCCAGTGTTTCTACTCGGAGCCTTTGGATATGAGATGGGTGGCAAATAAATGTTATAAATCAATTTGAAACTCTTTATCTCCATTCCCATAATTGTGCCAGCAATTCCATATTTTTCAGGAAAATACTTTTATAAATCAAACTTGCAGTAAATTTTCTTTTTCACATTCATGCTTTTCTTCATGACCTGTTGAAGAGCCATGCCATTCCAGAGTTCTGAAAAATATTTTCTGAGAAAAAATGTAAAAACTCTCCTGTATTTAATTACGTGTGTCAAGACTATTCATATAACACACTTCCCCAATTTTCATCTACATTACTGAAGCAACTTTTCACTTGTAATAGATAAACTACAGTTGTAACTTTTGTATCTGGATCCTTTAGTTGTGCTGACTGGTAGTTCTGGGCATCATAATCTGGACGAGTATGATGGCAGTCTATTCCTAATAAATAAAGAGAGTGCACTATTTTGAAAAGCTGCTAGCATTTAATGTTTCAAGGAATAAACCCCTATTGTTATTTATCGCTAAAGAATTTATCTCTATGCAGTTTACAGTAATCCTTTAGATTACTGTAGATCAGGGGTGTCCAACCTTGGCAACTTTAACACTTGTGGACTTCAACTCCCAGAGTTCCTCAGCCAGCAAAGCTGGCTGAGGAACTCTGGGAGTTGAAGTCCACAAGTCTTAAAATTGCCAAGGTTGGACACCCCTGCTGTAGATAGATTAGAAATAGAGGGGAAACAATAGAGAATTACCATGGCAATGATAAAAAAATGTAGATAATAATAAAACATTGACTGTTTTCAGCAACTACCACCAAAATTGGGCAACTTGACAGTTGCAAATTAGATATGTTTCTTTGGTCTTATAGGCATAGCAAGTTTGATTCTGCTGTCAATTTACATACATGTATTGGGAGAAACATACAGTACTTGAGAGGGAATTTTTTGTTTTCATGCTGAAGTCCCTCTACCTGTGTATTTTCACACTATATACTTAGATCATCAGAACATCCTCTGTTGAGTCTTTCCTCCACTGAGTCGTGGCACACTATTTAGAACCATGTTTAGCGAAGATCTTTAGAGCTAATATATATATGCAAATATTCTTTTATGGTTTCATTGTTGCTCTTGGGATCTTCTGTTCATGCATAGATGAAAAAAACAATAACACACCATATAGAACACACAAGTCCATTAAATGCAGCTTGTCTTAACACATTGCTTTCTTTCGTCTTTAGTTTATAATGGGAGCCAAAGATGAATATACTGTATATAATCCCTAACAGGGAGAAAGTAATGAACAAGTGATGCCTGCAAACTGCAGCCCTGTTCCAAATGTTTCTAGCACAATCCCTGGAGCAGTATTATATGTGCTTTTTCCCATGGAGTGTTCTATCAATAGCAGGTGTACATCCCTGATGTCTTTCACCAAGTCATATGGCCATTTCTACAGCAATTCAGACTCTTGACAATGATCCTGCTTTTGCAATGCCAAATACTTGCCAACAATAGGGTTATGCTAGCTGTTAGGCTGCCATACATACAGTGAATTCTGTGTTCTTGAGGGAGAGGGAAGAGAGATGGGTGTAATATTCTTTGCAAAATCCTCTTCAATTAGCAATTCCTTGATAATTTGCAAGAATTTCTATTGTGCTTGTTAACAAGGTAATAATTAGCACAATCATTTTTAAAGACTGTTTTCCTCATATATAGTAATGAAAACAGAAATTGTTTATAGAAAGGGATCAATATTGCCATAGCAGGAGGGATTCTTTGGATCCTCTTTTGCTTGTTTTTTTCTGATTTAGTTTTTTCCCCCCATATGGTCTGTAACCAGATGTTTTCCTTCATTTGAATCTCACAGTGCTGAATTTTATAGGGGGAAAGAGGTAAATGGTCAGTAGGCTTCTATCTTTCTTGTTGATCAGTAACTGATAAGATTCAGAACTTTCCTTCAAATATCCTTGAATCTTGTCTAATATTTACTACTTTATCCTAAGTCAAAAGTTATTCAAAGCATTACAGTGGTGGGCTTTTCCATTTACTGTAATTTCAGTTTCAAAAACTGAACAACTGTTATGACATTTTCCAGACCTCCTTTTGCCGAAGAAGATAAGATAAACTACAAACTATACATATGAAGAAGAAAAATTAAATCTATGTTTTGGTCTTCAAAATGCAGCATAAACAAACTTATTTTTCCAATAAAAAGTGTTTGGAATTATCTTTGATTGCAGGTTACTGTGGGCATTTATTGTACAGTTGTTGGCATTCTTTTTATATATTCTTTTTATGAAAGTGGGTGATCTGGGTAATATTATCAACTTTTAAGGAAACATTGTTCATTGTTGCATGTTGCAAACTACATATAATGGGACAATTAAATAAACAAATGATGTAGTCAATATATAGAGAGATCAGTTGCTGAGCATGTTTTCCATTTATTTAACAGGTCTGTAACGTTTGCAGTTTAGCTGACTGCTATAATCCCTGTGAAATATAAGAATAAGGCATAACAAGTGTTCCAAATTCTCAGCTTTGAGATATAGATTGTATTCAAAAATAAAGCTTTCAATTTTCAGACACATTTTCAGTTTAAAAAAAGTTTTAGTAGACCTTTACATGGAATATAACCCCACTCCAATTCCTGATTGATTGATGAGCAGCATATACATTTTAGATAGATGGATAGACAGAACATCACAGATAGATGGACCAATATTTATGTCAGCTTTGGAAGCCATATTAGCACCAGAAGCTCCCACGCTGCCACATTCTTGAGCATGGGAAGATGGGAGGGGGGATTTTATGGAGCTTATGTGGTTAGACATAATAGCATTCTTCTTTAAAGTCAAGGTCAGATTATTCCTGCACCTGGCTGAGGAGTGGTTGAGGGGATGTCTCAAATTGGGACGGATGGTGATTGGGGCATGTGATGGAATGATGGGTGCAGGAGGTGGATTTATAATTTTTTATTTATTGGAGGGAAACCTGGAACTTTCAGATTCGGGATTTCCCAGATGTGCCAGTATACCTACTCTAATAAAAGGAAGCTTTGAGAAAATGCCTGTCTCTGAGTTTTTAATTGGAGTTGGGTTTTTCTGGAACCCTGACATTTTATGTGTTTCTATATACAATCCTAAAGTATCTTCCTCCTACACAATCCAAGCTATTTACTTTGATGTTTAAATGATTTATCTGATGATGGAGGCTTAACAATCTGGATATTATAATACAATGAGATTGCTGTTGAACATTTGGGAAGGGGGTGAATTAAATCACTTTAATTAATTAGGACATGCGGAAAGCTTCCATGCTTAGGCGGAAGGAAGTATTTTTAACTGTAAAGTTCTTTTGCTTATAGCATTGACTTGCTGCAGGGTAACCTCATTTTGAGGATTGGCACAGGTGAGGATCACGTGTACTGCAGTGCCTGGATCTCACAATGTTCTTTTCTCCCCAATAGGTTTGATTTACACCACTTCTCAGCAGCTAGATCGTGAACACAAGGCTGAACATATCTTAGAAGTGAGTAATGATGAAGTTGCAATTAGTTTTATTTACTTGTAAGTAGTTTTTTTTTAAAAAATCCTCAAAGACATTTCCTTACAAGTCAGAGCATAGATAGAGGAGAAGGAGGAAGACTTCGTTCCATCATTTCCAAATTGCTCAGGAAGATAATTGCTTGTTCTGCATTTTTGTGCTTCTGCACCCAGTGCCAGCTTAAGAAATATCTCATGACTTGACTTCCTAACTGAAGACTAAAGCAGGAATCTTGTGCCAAACCCAAGCTGATGGATCCAGATGTTCTAGATGTCTGTTCCTTCATGTTGCTTTTATCCTGAACATTAATGCTGGAAAATATCAGATTTAAAATCAACCCTTCTGGAGGGTACCATTTTAAGGACATCTTTCCTAAGCCATGAAGAACAGAATATGGTCATTAATTTCCTGCCACTTGAGAGAACATAGTATAAAAAATGTTGACTTACTTAATTTAATGACCACGTGATTATTAATTGAAACTTATAAAGTGAGTAACAATACATTTCAGATTAAGATAGCTGTTCATGGCATGTCCTAACTAAGAAAGGACTGAATTAGACAAACTTTTGCTTCAATTTACAAATGCAGTTTCCAGTATGTTTACTTTTAAGGATTTTTACTAAATTTCTTCCCAGGTTCTGCTACAAATACCAAAATTATTAATGTGAATTCCTGTTGTCTTCCCCTTTGCCTAAACAATCCAGCAGGTGTAGTTTAATGAAGAAATGTACAATCTTTTGAGCTAATGGGCATAGTCGGATCTTTGAGAACATACAATATTACGGGCACTCTTACAAAATAGCTGGTGTGATGGGTACAACCATTTGTTTTTGGTTTTTTTGAAAGCCATTTATTATGGAATTAAGATAAATGACTTTTTTTAAACAACAGAGAGGGCTTCAACCTTCTGTCATTTCTATTTTGTGAGAGCATTGGTTGTATGTCCGGAGTGCAGAAGCATTCTTGGAAATAAAGATTACGTGGACCATCAAGCAAGTTGTCTTTGAGTACATTGGTGCCTGTGGGTTCCATGATACAGACCAATTACTTCGTAATCTTTTCCAGCTTTGGGTTATAAATGTGGGCTGTATCTTTGTATTAAACACACAAACACAGCAATTGTATTTTTTTTTTCCTGCTGATGGTCTTTCTTCTTTGCAACAATAACACTTGCTTTTTCCAACAACTTTGTTTTAGACTTGTTCTTATCCGAGTCTATGGCTCATCTATCAATCCAGTCAGTGTAGTCCAGCATGCAACAAACTGTTGAAGACTAACTTCAGTCATCTTTAGATGAATCATAATTGAAAGCGAGCTTCCTGCCTGGAAAGGAGCGCATGCCTATATTACAAACAGGCTCTTACCTTCCATTGTGTTCTGATGGGAGACTCTCTATTGCCTTTTTCTTGCAGGTTTCAGTTTCAGACAATGGGGATCCGGTTTTGCAGTCTAGCAGTAGAGTGGTAATCCAGGTCCTTGATGTGAATGACAATCCTCCCAGCTTCTCCCAAAAGTTGTTTATGGTTCAGCTGCCAGAAAAAGCAGCCTCCGAAACTCCTTTGCCGGTCTACAGGGTGATTGCTGCAGATCGTGACGAGGGACTGAATTGCCAAATCACTTACAGCCTAGAAGAAAACAGTGAGGGACTGTTCAGCATCCATCCAGTGACAGGCATAGTGTTCTCCCAAAAGGCTTTCTCTGCCCAAGAATACAACATACTTACAGTGAGTATCATTAGAAGCATAAGGAGACTAAAGACAGGTGATCGTCTTTCTGAATATGAAACAATACTGTTCCTTGTGATTTACACTTTTTTTCCTCTTGTGGCTGTAGTTAAACTGGACTCTGGTGACTTTTTTTAAAAAAACTCTTTTAATAACGATTTGACGCTAGCTGATTTTGAAACAATTCAATAAAGACAATTTTTAACTCCCTTAAGAAGATAACATATTTCTCCAACCCAGTTTAAAGAAATATTGGAAAAGGGAATTAAAATGGCATTAATGTTGCATGGAATAGTTAGGCAATGCAAGGCCACACTGAAGAGTGGAAAAATATTTTTGATTAGTAGCATGTATTGTTTTTCACTACAAAGTGAAATCTTTGCACACAAATTAAACATTTTTTTTCAGAGTATGCCATCTGTTCAGTTCATTAAAGCTGAATTCTTTGAACTAGAATATTGAATTCACAGTAGAATCTTTTTATTGACCATTGGAAAGGAAAACAGCCTGACATGGAACTCATCCTAAAGATAATACAGTATATGTGGAATTAAGTAAGAGCTTCGTTCATTTATCAAGCTGAGTGCAAAGTGAGAGACAGGTAGTCTTTGTTTAAAAACCAGAATTCAGATTGGCAACTTCATTTCTAAGCTACATGGTCATTAAGTGAAACATCTTGTGATCGTAATGGGCTTACAACACCATGGTTATTAAGACATTGTGTGATTATGGCCTGAGATTTTAGTTCCAGCTTCTCTATTGACTGCTTGTCAGAAGCCAGCTGTGAGGTGCACAAATGGAGATCACATGAGAATAAACACCCACCAGTTGCAAAGTGCCCAAATCTCATCATGTGACCATGAAGATGTTGTGATGATTGTAAATATGCAGATTATATTTTTTAGCACTTAAAGTTACTTTTATATAACCTCAAACACTTGCTAAATAAAACAGGTGTTAAACTGGGATTACCTGTAGTAGCACAAGCTAGACTCGATGGAGCATAATAATAAAAATAGAGGCCAATGAAATGTAAGATGTAATTGTCCTGGAGGCATCTTAGTAGAGGAACCATTTATCAAGGATAGAAGGGCTCGTATGTTTCTTTGTGTTGAGCAGTAAATCGGTTTAAGCTGAGCATTTCAGATCATGGTTCAAATTTTTTTTTAATTTAGGAGGATTTTTTTTACCTATGGTGGCATGGTGGTAGATGCAAATAAATATGTGTGCCTTGATTAAATAGTTAAAAGAATGTAAAAATACGGTTTGTCCTGCATATATGAGGTTGTATAAACAATAGAAGTCAATAAATACATTAATCCTGATATATTATGTTTGTCTAACTTGGTTTTGTGTTTTCCCATCCTAAAAGTATAGAAGTTTAATTTAGGCAGGAATAAGCCACAAGCATGGCAGAAGCTCCTCAGGATGAATATATTATCTTTCAGATCCCTAGATCTATATGAGCTAGTGTTTTCTTTTTGGCAGGTCAAGGCTACTGATGGTGGCACCCCACAGCTTTCCTCCAGTGTGAGGCTTCACATTGACTGGATCCCAAAGCCCTTCCCCTCCTCAGAGCCATTGGCTTTTGATGAACCTCATTTCAACTTTACAGTCATGGAAACAGATCCCGTGAACCACATGGTGGGAGTGATCAGTGTTGATGCTGGGCTCAGCCAGATCTGGTTTAATATCACAGGTGAGAATATGTGCAGTTGAGAAAGGAGCTTCACAGTGATTCTGAACTGGAAAAAACAAACGTTGCTTGTATTCTCCTGGTATTTCATATCCATAGGGGCCTGAGATATCAAAGGCTGTTCATATTGTAGGTGGCAGGAGTATTATAAACAAAGCTTCAGCACTGATATGAAGCAGTATTCAATCTGATAAAAGTTCGATGAACAGTGTAATGTACATTTTGTATTACAGTACCTATCACAGCTTGCAGCATGCCATTGCTTGGCAGTGTTCCAATCTTAATGAAAATTTTAGTGTTTTCAAACAGGTCCAAACACATATTGTGGCTCACATGGAATATGTAATAACCATGCTTATTTCCCACAACAATAAAAAATAAATCTACCCAAGGGGGCAAGGGCGGGGGAGAGAAAAACATTTTGGAAGAATGGAACTAATCTTCTGCATTTCTTGTTCCCTTCTCCATTGTTTGGGCCAATTAATCTGAAATGCTCTTTTCTTTTTCTGTAAACAGACAGAAACACACATCTTCTTACAATAAATTTTTGATTTTTTTTTATAGAAATGTATTGATCAGCAGGAATTGTTTGCACAATTTTGTTATCAGCAGAGATCTCTTTGTTACTAGGTAGTGATTAATTATTTTTAAAAATTAAGAACTTGGTACTCTGATAATGACCTGAGTTTTACCCAAAATCTATGTGATAGCCATCTGTGATTACTAGTCCAGCATGTTGAGGCAGCAGCCACCCAGTATCCTTAGGCAGTAGGCAATCCCAACACAATTAGAAGGAGCCAGGTTGGAAAAGGCTGTAATTGACCAACAATGTTCCCATTGTGGGAAGGATTATTTTGCATTGTGGATGAAAATTAGAAGCTGGGCTGTATCTGATTTCAGTAAATGCCATGAGGTAATGCAGGAAATATTGAAACAAAGTGGAAAATTCATTTGTATAGTAAGGGATGGGCAATATTTTGGTAGCCATGGGCCACGCTTAAGGGGAATATGGTGTTTTCTTGGCCTTTAATTGTGAAGTGGATAGTTAAGGACTTATCCTATAATTTTCTTTCACCAGAATATCTATTTTCAGCAAGTACAATTATTGGATCTTCCAGGGACATAAAACAACATATAACATATGCAGTAAAATGGAAAAAACACGGTTCAATTTTTTTGTCTAAGAAGCTACAATAACTGGATGTTATTGTATTGTGATTATCACTAATCACTGCCCACCTTGAGCCATGGAGTTCATAACAATAGTAAAGTGAATTACTTAACTTCATTTACTAAAAGTGAGGTAACTTCATTTTTGAGATAAGGATAAATAAGTAGTTTTGTAAGAAGATTTCTAGACTGAGGCTGAACTTTTAAAAACACACAGTTTCAAGTAGTTCAACACTAAATAAATTAGACTGGTTTGTATTTTGTTTTTGTGTTTTTTTAGAATCTGGAAATAAAATACAAATTGTAGAATTAAGTTCAGTCAAGAAAACAATTCTATACATCTGGTAAAAACTAAGTCAACATTCATGGGATGATCTCTCCTCCCAACATAAAATGAATGTAAGAAACTTTATAATTAAATTGTTTCATGGAGTAGAAATAGGAATTTTAAAGTATGTGTATATAGTATAAGGCATTCTCTATAGCAGGGATCCCCAACTCCCAGTCCACAGATCAGCACTGATTCGCAGCCTATCAAAAACCGGTCCGCGTAAGCCTGTGAAGCCCCATCGGCGCACACGTGCAATCCAGGGAGCATGTAAAATCACCACCACTCCGGTCCATGGAAAAACTCCTTCATGGAACCCAGTCCTTGGCACCCAAAAGATTGGAGGCCACCGCTCTATAGCATATAGTCAGTCCTAGCATTAGTTTTCCACCTACTTCAGCTTTCGTTACAATGTTCTGTAATATTCATTCAGTTGTGCTTGCATTAAGCTGCATTCTTTTACTGAAGGATTCATATCAAAGAGACAGTTTTAGCAGAGTGAATTTGCTCCTATTCCCAGAATGGGACTAGATCAGTTTTCCTCAATTAGGACCTTCCAGGAAGGTTGAGACTCCAACTCCTAGATGTCTAAGCCAGCATGACTTGGCATTTGTGGAAGGTGTATTTCCAATACATCTGGAGAACGAAAGGATAAGGAAAGCTAGGCTATATTTTCTTTGAAAATTGGAATTAGGAACCAGAATTTCCAAATTTCCATTGCTGAGAGAAGGCAGTTGTTTTGTGAGTTACACCTGATATTACAACCTTTTTTTGACTTGGTTGTTAAGTGAATCATTGCAGTTTAAGGAAATCATGCAGTCATTAAGCCAATCCAGTTTTCCCCATTGACTTTGCTTGTCAAAGTTGAAAGCCAGCTGGGAAAGTTGCAGATGACCCTGGGACACTGCAATCATTATTAATACATGCCAGTTGTCAGCCGCCCAAATTCTGACCTTGTGATTGTGAGGATGCTGCAATGGTAATAAGTCACTTCTTTCAGTAATGTTATAATTTCACTAAATGAATGGTTGTATGTTGAGGACTACCTGTATTTTATTTTGGTGCCATCAGTATCATCCTCAATGAAGTGAACAATACTTACCCAACCGTGTCTGTCTTCTTTTATTCATCCAATGTAATCTGTGTGGCTACAGAGGGGTACGAAAACCCACATCTCTAAAGGTATCATTTTTGTAAACTTTTTCTGAACTTTTGCCTTCATCACAGAGATCATTTCTGAACTTTTGCCTTCATCACAGAGATCACCTTTACATAAGTAAATTGTACGGCAGCAAGGAAATTAGCTGATTGGGGAGAATTGGTTTGTTTGGAGCAGAATCTAAGGGTTAATTGGCTCAATAGCAATAGCACTTAGACTTGTATACTGCTTCATAGTGCTTTACAGCCCTCTCTAAGCGGTTTACAGAGTCAGCCCATTGCCCCCAACAATCTGGGTCCTCATTTTACCAACCTTGGAAGGATGGAAGGCTGAGACAACCTTTAGCTGGTGAGATTCGAACTGCTGGTAGTCAGCAGAAGTAACCTGCAATACTACATGCTAACCGCTGCGCTACCACTCAACATTGTAGTTTGCATTACAGGTAGCCCTCAACTTACAACAGTTCATTTAGTGATTGTTCAAAGTTTCAACAGCACTGAAACCAGTGACTTATGACCATTTTTCACAGTTACAACATTTGCAGCATCCCCATGTGATCAAAATTCAGATACTTGGCAACTGGTTCATACTTATGACCATGGCAGCATCCTCAGAGTCATGTGATTCCATTTTGTAACCTCCTGACAAGCAAAGTCAATGGGGAAGCCAGATTCACTTAACAATCAGGTTACTAACTTATCAGCTGCAGTGATTTGGTTAACAACTGTGTCAAGAAATGTTGTAAAATGGGGCAAAACTCACTTAACATAATTTTTGGGCTCAATTGTGGTCATAAGTCAAGGACCACCTGTATTTGCTTTCCAGTACCCCCCAAACAAACCAGGTAAACTTATGATGTCAGTAGAGCTACTTCTTTACATTTAATCCCTTTTCAGTCTGCTCCAAAACACAGCACAATCTGAATCTAAAATATACCACTTTTAGAGTATATTTCATATTTATATATTGCAATTTTTTCAAAGAGCGAAGAGGTAAAGAGAGCATGCCTGTTACAAATTAATTTTATCTTTGTGACAGTTTCACAAAGCCTGAAAATGGGAATACAGAAGGGAATATAACCATAACTTGCATGCTGTATATGAATTGAAGAATCAATATTCTTGTATAGGATAAAATGAACTTAATGTTCCTATGAGGGACTATTTCTTAGAGTAAGCACATTTTATTGTGGAAATATTATATAGTGTATCAATATAGTATATTTTATAGTACATTAGTATATTTTACTTTAAAAAGTTAGCATTTATCATAGTAGCATCTGGATGCATGCCATGCCATTCACCCTCTGATGTAAGGATGCTAGGTTGATTTCCAACTATACTTCGAATAATTATTTGTCCCTGCCTCTTGACCTTTTGACCTGAGGGCAAGCCTTTCATTGCATGAGCATTTCTGTATAAAAATGTGATATATTTTTTCAAAACAGAGAATAAAATAATTATAACCAGTAAACAGGCTTATGTATCTACACAAAGTTTTCTTTTTGTGCCTTTGTGTCTCTGAAAGAGTGTGTTGCATGCTACATGTAGCATGCAATATAAATTTAAATGTAAATACAAGGGCAGGGAAATAAATAATCTTTATTTTAGAAACTGAGCAGTGCTTTGATTTTTCTTTGCTATTCTGTCAGGATCATGTGGAAGGGAACAAAATGTTTCGGAACATAGTCTGTTCAACATTGTATGGTTTTCACCGGAATTACGGAACTTTCATTACATTGACCGTAATTTCCAAATTTTGTGCCTCCCTTTACCCTTTCTTTCCTTTCACTTGCCTTCTTAAGCATTTGTACAAGTTAATGTTCTCACCTGTTTGCTTAGATACAGTAAGTCAGCTGCACAAGTTCATTCTCACAAACCTCACAATGCAGCATCCTCTAGCCCTTTTTGTATTTGTTTTCTGTTATTTCTTCCTAACATGAACATTTTGCTTGACGTTCGCTTTCCTGAGTATTTTCCTTTTTCCACCTTAAATCATTACTGAAAAAGCAAAAACATTTCGACTTCTGGTTTGAAGGGCTTCGGCGACAAACAGGAATCCGCGATCGTGCACGGTTTCTGCCTGGGCTCGCCGCTGGAGCGCCCCGAACCGGCTGGTTTCAGGGCTAAGCCACCCCGTAGAGGTGGTGAAGAGGGGGGAGATCACCAGCAGGGTCGAGGAGAGCCGCATCTCTCCTCCTCAGCTGGCCAAACTCCCTTTCCCAAAGGCGGTAGGACTGGTGGTCAGAAATGGCCACCTCAAAGAAGAACTCAACCGGAAAAGAAAGTGCAGGAGGAAGATAAGAAGTGAAAGTTTTGGCTGACCAGGTTAAGTTGAAAAAGCAATAACTAAGGTACCGTGGAATTTAAATTTTACAAAAGATAACATCGCTCCCAAAGAAGAGTCGGAAGCAGCGAAAGAAAGTGAAAAGGGAAAGTTTTTTTTTTTCTCTCTCCTTCCTTACATTGACAACTAAGAGATCTGAATAAGAAATCGGAAAAATCCGCTTTGGCATCAATAGGCAATTAAGCTGAAAATATAACTAAATGCCAAAGGGACAATAAAGATTTCTGGACATTAATTTTTTCTTCTATAAGCAGGAAGGGAGAGGAAAAGAATAAGGGCAGGATCTGGAGGGAGGAGACTGCCTGGACTTCAAAAGAATCTAAAGTAAAATTTTAATAAGACTTCTAAAAGATACATTTTAACTGAAATTTTGCAACTAAATAGTAACCCCAGGAAGAGAAAGTGAAAAAGAAAGAAAGTGTAAAAAGAAACAGCTTGTGTGTATTTGGATTGCTTGGTGACTTGGATTTTTGGTTATTATATTTGAATGACTAAAACCAATTGGGTGGTTGTTTAAAATTTTTTACAACGGCATCACTTCTGGATGAATTGAAAATGGAACTTAAAAAATACAAAGAAGATGCACAAGAAGGGAAGGGCTCTTTTGGCTTCGTTTTTCAATTCTTAGAAGTGGAGATCTGCAACTACGAGAAACAACAAGAAAAGACTGCAAAACAAGAAGACTGGGACAAAGAAGAAGCCATCTTTAATGAACAAGTAACTCTATGTGAGGAAGAAAGGGGAAAGGGGGGAAAGAGAATGGAGAATTTAAGACTTAAAAAAACAGCCAAAGAAGGGAAAAATAATTTGAAAAGTGGATATAATGTTGGAAAGCAACAGAAGAGGGGAATACAGAAGAGGGAAATAGAGGTGGAGAGACGGGGGGGTAAAAAGGGGAGAGAGAAGAAGAGAGGGAAGAAGGAAAGGAAGAGAAGTTACAAAGGTTTGGAGCAAGATGTAAAGAAACAGGACCTATTTAGAGATAATGGGTGAAAATCTAACTGAAAAAGGGATTCTGTGAAGATACATAAGATTCTATTGTTATATTTGTAATAGAAATAATTTTAGAAAATTGGAAACAACATATGATTAAAAAGAGGGATAAAGTAGTTGGTGTGGTTTGGTGAAATGTTTGTGAATAAAACAAATGAAATAAAATAAATGAGAAAATTGAATTAGGAAGGAACGGGAACATTTTAATGAGTCAATGTTTTATAAAATATAAGTGAAGAGGGGAGGGAATTAACTATGGAAAGTTTATAATTGTTCCCATAGAAGTATGATATTTATTTGAAAAGTAATGTGCAAAATGTTAAGATTTAAATGAATATTAATATTAATGATAGAATTGAATTGGAATGGATTGTTGTTTAATTATATTATACATTTATAATTTTTTCTTTTTTCAAGAATACAGTGTGTAGTTTTAGAATGTACCAAGCAGAATCCGAATGGAAGTTATGTATTATATTAAGTGTTATAATTTTAGGGGAAAGATATAAAGGCGTCATACTCCAATCAGTGATTACAGGAGAAATTTTGTTTAATGAGAAAAGATAGTAGACAGTTGAAACAGGACAGACAAAGAATATAAGTACAATGATTTGAATTGAGATGAAATAAATAAAATAAAATTAAGAAAGTTAAAAGAGGGGAGAAGCCATGTAGAAAATGTAGAATAGTAATAAGATATGGAATGGAATATAAAAATGAGCATGAACCTGAATTTGTGTCTGTACGAAGAGATGTAACCCGGGATTATGCTGCTTTCAAAAAAGATGTTTTACTTGTATTTCTTTTCTTTTTGTGAAAACTCAAATAAAACTTATATATATAAAAAAAGCAAAAACATTTTACACGGAGAGGGGGACATATTTTTCCCCCAGCATTCAAAACAATTACTTCTCTATCCTATGTGTTACCCTTCCATGGTTGTTTGAATTATATGAGACATGCATTTGTGAGTCTAATAGACAACCATTGATTCATGATCAAGAAAATTGTTTATACCAGGGGTCTCCAACCTTGGCAACTTTAAGCCTCGAGGATTTCAACTCCCAGAATTCTGGGAGTTGAAGTCCTCCAGGCTTAAAGTTGCCAAGGTTGGAGACCTCTGGTTTATACTGTTGTGGGGGGGGGGGGGGGGTTTAGACGCGGGGTCTCTTCCCCCCCCCCCCCTCTCTTCAGGAATCCCTCAATAGGGCAGCTAAAAGTAATTCTTCAGGTTATCCTTCAGCTTTATTTTACTGCTGCAACTATGCTCTTGGATGCATAGAATTTGGGTTCTTGTCTTCAGTTTGATTAAGAATGGGAAAATCAAATGCTGCCTAATGCCTGGGGTATTCACAAATAAGTCAGTCAGATGTTGCCTAGTTTGAGTAATGAAACGTCTGCAAGAAAACAGCCAAGCTCCTGTTATTGGACAGACACACACCCATAAATGTGCACACACACACACGCACGCACACACACACACAGAGTCCAGTATCATCCATTAAAGAATTACAAAAAAGGAAGTGAGCAGGGGAATGGACTGAAAAAGTCCTCCAGGAAATAGGGCAAGCCTCAACAGGGCATAAGCATGAGAGCGGAACTGGCTTAAGCATTGCACCTTGAAGTGGAGCCAGAATATATCCTCTCTCTGCCAATTTGCCCCAATATTCCCTGCTCTCCTGCCTTTCACTGGTTGATGTCATTCCCCTCCCTTTACCTTAAGTAACACTGCATTACAAGTAGACATTAGCTTCTTAAGTCAATACTGTATATTAAGTAAATAAACACAGATCAGTGGTGACAATAGAAACCTTTCACAGAGATTCCCCACCCAACTTTTATGCTATTCTGCTTCCTCCCACTAAATGTTTCTAATCAAACTCCATGAGTGAGCTTGTTACAAATGCTGCCAACAGCAAGAATTATTTTCCTCTGGTCCTCCCCAGGAGAGGCGGATGTTCAGACATCTAGCCTCCATCATAATTCTTTATTTCTAAAGTCCTCCCTCTCTTCCAAGGTGGTGATGATGCTATGAATTTTGACATCGAGAAGAGCACTGGCAGCATTGTTATTGCAAGAACTCTAGATGCAAAGGAAAGATCAAACTACAATCTCACCATAGAAGTCACAGATGGATCAAGCATCATTAAGACACAGGTCAGTGCCTCAAAGTCCAGTTCAGTAATCTGAACAACGTTTTCATAATGGACTGTATATAGTGCTCACATCTGTTTTAGAAAAGTACTAGATATTCAAATGCCAGTTGAATTATTGCCTCAAGTTTTGAGTTAAACTTTCTCTAAAACGATCAATTTACCCATTTCTCGCACTCTGGTGGATTAGAACCAGTAAACAAAATATTGTCTATAATGTGATCACATTTGGGGAAGAAGGGTCCAAACTACTATTGGTCATTCAGTGAGCCAAATAAACAGAGGGATATCCTTACTCAGAGATTCTTTCCTAAATCTCTACTTCAATAATTGATGATTGGAAATCCAAAAGGATTGCAAATTATCTACAAATACACTTCTAATTCCAGACTCTGCCAAGATCCATTGACTGTTGAGGAAGGTGAGATATAGAGCTGGTCTGTTTTGTTTTGTTTTACTTTTTTCCTCATATATGACCAATGTATGTTCCAATAAGCTACTTCAATAGAGCCTTGTCTAGCTGGAATTATAGACATGAGTTCCATCTCTGAGTATTTTCATCTTTTATGGCAGCTGATGACTGAAGTGTATTACTTCTATAGAGGAGATCTTTTAAGCAAAGATCTAGTCTGATTATTAGCTACTTTAAGCGATAATCTAGTCTGATCCTTACTTTATTAGAGACTGTGAACATTATATGTAATGTAGAAAAGGGTAGGTAATCAATACTGAGAGTTCCTTTCCACTGGGATTCCGTAGTAGCTCACTGTGTTTTTGAATGTCTTAGAACTTTATTCTGTTACCATGTCATCTTTCAATACCTTGGCTAACATAACAATTCCAGTCCCAGAAACTTCTTTCTCTGCTTACTTTAACATAGATTGTTGGATAGGTAGCGAACCTGCTACTGCAAAATCATGGGCTTGGGTTTTACTGAAGAAAGGAAGTCCTTTTCCAAGATGGGTTTCAGGAAATGTGCTTTCTTTGAAATGTTGCCTCTAGAACAGGGCTGTCAAACTCCCGCCCTGCGGGCTGTATGCATCACACGCTGGCCACGCCCATGCCCGGATTAACGAAGGTGGGGAGGAAATTTTGATATGTCACATAACATCTTTGTGACGATATAAGTTTGACAGCCCTGCTCTAGAACAATATCCTCTAATTTCCTGAGCTTGTCTTTCAAGCAAATTTGAAAACCTGGCTCTTCCCTCCCACCCTGGGATGAAATTCTATTTCCATTGGTTGTTTCTTAATTAGGTCTTATTCTTTTTAGTTTCCATTATTTTTAGTTTAGTTTCCATCAGAGTGGGCAGGCAGGGAATGTTGTGGGTCCCATCCCTGAGGGAGATAAACCTGGTGGGACCAGAAGAAGGGCCTTTTCCATGGTGGTTCCCTCTTTCTGAAACATCATTCCCCCAGAGATTAGAATGGCCCCCTCTCTAATATTCTTCTGGAAGGCTCTGAAGACCTGGTTCTGCCGGCAGGCCTGGGGAACCCAGAGCAGGATGGAGCCCATCAAATGACTCATGTGATCTGCTGTCGTCGGGTTGAGGTTTTTTTTTTCAGATTTTTTTCTATTGTACTTTATTAATTTATTTAATTCTTTTTGTTAGTTTTTATTTTATTTTTTCTTAAATATTCTGCAAGCCACCTCGAGTCACCATGGGCAAATAGGCAGCAATATAAATTCAATAAATAAATAAGTAAATAATTTTTACTCGGGTGTAGACATTTTATGATGTATGGTGGAGAGGGGAACCATTACCAGTTGTTGTTTTTTTATCATAAATGCCTAATGCTAGTTGAGTTGGGCAACTCCATACATTTCATAAAACAAATAAGTATTATTTAATTTGATACTTGCTTCGGGGTAAGTATATTGAGGCAGCCAAACCAGTCACTGCTCTATATTCATTTTGTTTCTTCACCAGCTGCTGCTTCCTGGCATCATTTCATTCTTCCTTTTTCTCCTTTACTATTACCATCTCAGTCTGGTTTGGCTAAGTTTCCATTCATTTACATGTAACTAGCTGTAATAAACTAGATGATTTCATTTTGGGATGAAGTCCTGATATCATTACAATATATATTGTGCCATCAAATCAAACCTAGTATCAGCATCTGGCATCTTGGGATATCTGCCAGACCACCAGAATTTGAAACTTGCTGTAGGCTCATTTTATTATCTTCTTATGCAACCAGGTGCTTACAAGTACAGTAAAAGGTAGATTTAGCTGCCATAGTAATGTTTGACCAAGGTATAGTATTTTTAGCAATTCCTCGTGCAGATTCTCAAACCATAAAGATGACTTAACACAAGATAAATTGTACAAACTCTCCCCTTTTCCACTAACAATCTGGAGCTACTTTGCATTAATTCATAAAGAAATAATAAGGTTACATGAATTTGTACATAAATAAGCATGAGAACTGTGAGAATAAAGAAAAGCAGGGTAAACATCAAAAAGTGTGGAAGTGTCATCATTGGGCATTTGTTTGCATACATATACACTTTTGAAGCAGTTTGTTCAAGATAATGGATACCCAGTAGTGGGATTCAAAAGTTCCCACTACTGGTTCTGTGGGTGTGGCTTGGTGGGCGTGGCTGCAGGGGTGGGATCATGCAAGAGACTCGTAGCGAATCGGTTCTTTGCCAGCTGATCTTCAGCACTATTGGTACGCCAGAACGGGCCAAACCAGTAGAATACCACCACTATGGATACCAAAGAAGAAATTTGAAGGCTCTAAAGTGAACAGTAGCAACACATGTCTTAGGAATTAATTTAACTCATGGAACAGACCATGCACACAAATTGTGTATCCGAAGCCCACGTTGGACCATCATGGAAAGGAGATGCTTGCATAGCCCTATTACTGACCTTCTCTACTGTTTGCTTTTTGTCTTCTTCTCATAGGCTTACATCCATGTGATTGACATTAACCAGCATCCACCACGGTTTTTGGAGTACCACTATGAAGCTCGCATTCCAGAAGACACGCCCCCTGGGACAGAATTCCTTGGCGTCAGTGCAGCTGACCAGGATCGTGGGAAAGGGTTGATCTACACCCTCCATAGCAGCTTAGATCCTAGGAGCTTGAAATTCTTTCAAATAGACCCAAGCCGTGGCACGCTCGTCACAGTATCAGACCTTGATGCTCAATCCATGCCACTGCATACTTTGACAGTTATGGTACGTGAGGAGCAGAAAATAAATGATTTGCTTAATTTCTATCCTCTTCTGTCTTACCTTATGGGCTGTGGGAAGATTGCAGCAGGGTTTCTAAAGTTTGTTTGTTGCATCTAATGATTTTTTTAAAAAGGTGGATAGAATGAGAAGGAATACTTTCAAAATTATATTGCAAACTTAAATTTATTAGTAATGTAATATTGTTTAAACAAAATATCTGTGGTTGATTTGTTGGCTGTTCAGGTACGAGACCAAGATGTCCCTATCAAGCGAGACTTTGCCCGAATTGTCATTCATATCGAGGGCTGTAACAGCCACCCTCCACAGTTCACCAGCCTCCATTATAAAGCAGAAATTCTGAATGTGGCTTCAATTGGCACAGAAGTTGTGCAAGTCCGTGCTCTGGATCTAGATCAAGGAGTTAATGCTGAAGTCCACTATTGCTTTGAAGCAGGTAAGGTACCTATATGTACTGCCTTATGAAGATTTTTTGTCTATGTGTTTAACTGCATCAATGATATATGTCAGATAAGCATATTGTTCTGAATCTACTATGTATTCAACATTAAATAAAATAAGAAAATTAGAGCCAACTGGTCCATAAATATTTTCTGTTGTTTCCCTTCTTTGAACCAAACACTCCCTAACACTCTTCTTTGAATCAAAGGGCACATTTGCTGTTAATATTTGGGGGCTTCCCATCTTGGGCTGATGCTTCTTGACTCAAAGCATCAAATTATGAACAGACTGAGTCACGTGTTTGTTTTCCAGATACAGAAAGGTGAGAGAGGCATAGAACCAGGGTAAACGATACCAAACACCAGTCATTTTCCTTTCTGTGGGCAGGTTTTCCTGAACATACATGGTGTGTGTGTGTGTGTGTGTGTGTGTGTGTGTGTGTGTGTGTGTGTGTACACATACATGTGACTACACATGCACATTAAAGCATGTTTAGAATTAAAGCAGGGAAATATGTGAGGAGCTTTCAGAATGATTGGAAGATTGACAGAGGGTGACACCGTTTTTTCTGCCTTCCAGAATTGTTTGCTGGACAGTTTTGAGAACAGGGTAAGAAAGTAAACAGACCTGCTTAATCGTCTCTGATAACATCAGTGTCTCCAAGTCATCAGCTGGTACACTTTAATTTATTTAAGAGAATGCTTAGGGAGTGTGGCATAATGACATCATCAAAGGGCTAGATCCAATGTTGTTTTTGCTTTCAGAGGAAATGGATACATTCATGCAGTAGAAATGTAATATACATATTTTCATTAGTTTTAAAAAGACCAAATTGACCACACACAAAGAAGACAAGGCACGGGTTTTTTTAAAAATCTACTTAAGAAAAACGACTTCTTCCCAGGGACTAAAAAAAGGTACATTTACGTATAGCAAACTAATGTGATAGAAAACAATAAACATTGTAGAATTTAATTATGCTTTTTCATTTAAGATTTGTTTGTTTATTTTCAGGGAACAGCGGAGGCTTTTTCACAATCAACAAGTTATCTGGAATTATTACAGTTTCTCAGAAGTTAGATCAATCCAAGCAAGAAAGATTTGCTCTCACAGTAAAAGCAGAAGATCAAGGATTTCCCCAGCTGAAAGATTCAACTACTGTGAACATTTATATTAAGGCTTCTGATACTACTCCCCCACAGTTTACAGAAGAAGAATATGTTGTCGAGATCAGTGAATCTGCAATCATTGGATCTCCAGTAATCCTTGTTTCTGCTATAAGCTCTTCATTTGTTACTTACGAAATAAAAGCTGGAGATAAAGACGGCTTCTTTTCTATCAATTATCAATCTGGACTTATTTCTACCCAGAAGAGCTTAGATTTTGAACAGACTTCATCTTACCAGCTGAAAATTCGGGCCACCAACATGGCAGGATCATTTATGGATGTTCCAGTGTTTGTTTATCTCATAGACCAAAATGACAACCTGCCTATCTTTGATAAGCCTTCTTTTATTGGCTGGATCGATGAGAATATTCCATTTGGTAGCATAGTTGTGGATGAAAACAATATACCGCTAGTGATAAATGCAACAGATGCTGACCAAGATTCTAATGCTTTGTTGATTTATGAAATTTTGGAGATGGAAGCCATGACTTTTTTCAAAATAGACCAAACTATGGGCACTCTTACTACTTGTGCTGATATAGATTATGAACATAATACAGTTTTTCACTTTGGTGTCCATGTTCATGATAGTGGCAACCCCATTTTGTTTGCTTCCAAACCTGTTCAAGTCACCATTTATATCAGAAATATAAACGACTGTCCTCCAGTATTTATCAAAAGTTTTTATGACCTTTCTGTGATGCTTCCTATTCATGATGGTATGGAACTTTTAAAAGTTAATGCAAAAGATGCAGACTCTGAAGTAATCTACAGTATAGCCGAAGGAAACCTTACGAATACGTTTTTCATCCACAAAACAACTGGCGCTATCTCTGTAGTAAATCATACTAATGTAGGAAACTATCATGAATTTACAATTAGAGCTGGAGATGGTTTATACGTGGCCAGTACATTGGTCAGACTACATTTTACTGAACCACAGGACAGCATTTTAAAATTTGATCAAGATGTATATTTAGCCACAGTAAAGGAAAATTCCACAGAATCTCAGATTATTATTGTTCTTGGTGTTATTGGAAATCAACTGAATGAACCCCTTTTTTACTCTATCTTGAATGGCACAGAGTGGTTCAGAATGATTCCATCTTCAGGAGTGCTACAGACCAAGAACGTGAAGTTTGATCGTGAAATTCAAGATGTGTATGAAATAGCAGTGGAAGTAAAAGATATTAGAAATCCACCAGGGGTTTCTCAAGCAATTGTAAGAATAATAGTGGATGATATTAATGATAATCCACCCCAGTTTGAAAACCTACCTTATTATATAGCAATACCGGCTGGCACTGAGCCAGGTGATATTATCTTTACGATTTCTGCAACAGATCAGGATCTGGGAAATAACAGAGTCATTTTTTACTCCTTTGTAGAAGAGTACCAGCATTTCTGGATTGACCCCTATTCAGGAGACATCTCACTCAAACAACCACTTGATTTAAAAACTTTAAATAAATACACACTGAGTATTATTGCCCGAGATGGTGGTGAGCCTCCCTTGTATGCTGAGGAAGAGATTACTGTAATGGTGAAGAACAAATCTAGCCCTCTGTTCCCAAGTCTCTTCTACACTGCAAAGGTGCCTGAAAGCAATCCACCCTACACACCCATTCTCCACCTCCAGGCCCGAAGTCCTGAAGGATTACGCTTGATATATAATATTGTGGAAAAAGACGCTCTCAGACTGTTCCATATTGATTTCAAGACCGGCATGCTTATGGCCACAAGCCAATTGGATTATGAATCTGATACAAAACATACGTTTACTGTCAGAGCTACAGAAACAGCAGCGGGTTCCTATTCAGAAGCAATTGTGGAAGTTCATGTCGAGGATGTTAATGATAATTTTCCTTTATTTTCACAGACAGTTTATACTGTATCTATCTCAGAAGATGTGCCAGCTCAGACCCCTGTAATTCAGCTCTTGGTTACTGACCAAGATTCAGGGTGGAACAAGCTTGTTTCATATCAGATTTTAGAGGATCACTCAGAATCCTCAAAGTTCTTCAGCATTGATGGCAGCACTGGTGAAATATCAACAACTCAGGGTCTAGATTATGAAATGAACCGCGAATTTCATATTAAAGTGAGAGCCACAGACCATGGGCTGCCCCCACTCAGCAGTGAAGTTCTTGTGATCGTCAGCGTGCTGGATATCAATGACAACCCACCACAATTCAGTCAACTTCAGTATCAGGCTAATGTGAGTAAAATGGTCAGCTGTGGTCAGGTTGTTGTAAAGGTACAGGCTTTTGATCCTGACAGCAGAGATACTCCTAGACTGGAATATATGATACTTTCAGGAAATGAGAAAAGGCATTTCACAATGGATAGCACTTCTGGTATCATTTCCACACTAAACCACTGCAAAAAAAATCTGGAATCATTTTACGGTCTTAGAGTTTCTGCTTCAGACGGAGTTTTTAAAGCCACTGTGCCAGTATATATCAATACAACTAATGTAAATAAATATAGCCCAGCATTTCAACGGGATGTTTATGAAGTTGTATTAGCTGAAAATACAAAAATAGGAACTGAAGTGATCGAGTTGTCAGCTATTGACCCAGATGATGGTGCTTATGGCACCATAGATTATATCATCATAAACAAGCTTGGCCAGGAGAAGTTTCTAATCGACGACAAGGGGCGCATTGAAACGCTGCAGAAACTGGACAGAGAAAATTCTACAGAAAGAGTTGTTGATATTAAAATCATGGCCAAGGATGGGGGAGGAAAGGTGGCATTTTGCACTGTTAAAATAATACTTACAGATGAAAATGACAATCGACCTCAGTTCAAAGCTTCTGAATACCTGTTGTCTATCCGGTCCGATATGAGAAAGGGATCTCCAGTCATTCAAGTTTTAGCTTATGATGCCGATGAAGGAGTAAATGCTGATGTCATCTACTCTGTTGATAGAGTCATTACAGAAGATGTGATTGAGATTAACACTGCCACAGGTGTTATCGTAGTCAAGGAGAGTCTCAAGGGACTAGAAAACCGAACTCTGAAATTTGGAGTCAAAGCTGAAGATGCCAAGCCTCCCAACTGGCATTCAGTTGTCCCAGTGGAGCTTCAAGTTGTTCCAAGGGAAGTATCTTTGCCAAGGTTTTCTGAGCCATTATATACTTTCTCAGCATATGAAGATCTCCCAGAAGGTTCAGAAATAGGATTAGTTCGAGCTATAGGAAAAGAACCCATCATCTACAGTCTGGTAGAAGGAACCTCTGCTGAAAGTAATGAGGAAGAGATATTCACTTTGGATAAGCAAACAGGGATCTTGACTGTTCAGAAGGCAATGGACTATGAAAAGATGAAATGGTACCAAGTAGATGTCTTAGCTCGTTCTTCATATAAGAATACTGAATTGGTCTCTTTAGTATCCATCAACATCCACGTAAAAGATGTCAATGATAACAAACCTATTTTTGAGGCAGATCCTTACAGAGCTTTTGTCATGGAGAACATGCCAGCAGGGACTCCTGTGATTCAGATAACTGCTAATGACCAGGATACTGGAAGTGATGGGCAAGTGACCTATAGCCTAGGATCAGGATTAAGCTATATCAGAGAATTCTTCACTATTGATAGTGAAAATGGCTGGATTATGACCCTTAAAGAACTAGACTGTGAAGTTCAGAAAAGCTACAAATTTTTTGTTGTAGCTTCAGATCATGGAAAGAAGATCCAATTTTCTTCTCAAACTCTAGTAGAAGTCACTGTCGCTGATGAAAATGATAATGCTCCAGAGTTCTCCAAACAAATTTACAGAGGATCGGTTGTTGAGAATGCTGAGCCTGGGCAGATGATAACCATTCTTAATAGTATTGACAGAGATCTTTCAGAAGAAAATAGACAGGTTGTGTGTTACATCACTGGTATGTATCTATATTTTTTAAGATTTGGTAAAAAGTGGAGAGGGTGCTTTGGATAAATTTACTTAACTTTTGACAGCACCCTTTTCTATAAATTAATCTTGCTGATATCTCTGCAGTTGCAAATGTAAGATGATTTTCATTATTAACAGTGGCCATTTGATGCAACATATGCCTTATCGGGAGATATTTTGAGACTAAATGTGTAGAGAAATAGCTACATGCCAATATTCCAAGAAAGAGTACTTTCTATTGGGTCTTATTATATAGAGAACTTCTACACCAGGCCCAATAATTGCTATAAGAAAAATTCTGATCTAAAATGCATTGTGATTTAACTGTGTGACATTTATCTGACTCTAAAACATCATTGCTGTTAGTCAAATGCAGCTGCATTATTTCGATCCTGCAGTTTTAATTCCAGTCCTGAATTAAATTTCTGATCAACGATCAAAAGTTAATTATGCATATATTTCATGTCAATTGTATACTCTAACCAACTAATATATGTGTCTTTGCATGATAAATATAAACTATGGAGGCAAATTTTATAATTTGTGATTTATTCAGCATAGATATAGAATAGAACTAAGAAGAATTGCATTTCACTGTAATATATCAAAGAAATAACTTCTCAAATTGTCAGTGTAGATTGAAACATTGTCCAGCATACCAAACAACGGTTTAATCAGTTCCCTATGTATCTTCATAATTAATAGTCGGTATCTATTATAAAATTGTCCCTAGCCACAGAGTGAAGGATAATAAAATAGTTGCTTCAGTACATACCATAATCAGTCTCCTGGTTAAATGTTATGAATTAACTCAGAATCAGTTATCTATATGATATCAAGTAAATTTTCTGGTTCTACACATAACATAGGTGAACAATATCTAGAAGACTCCAGGTATATGCCTCTTTTTGTTATCTTGAAACCTGAAACACTTTTTTTTCATAACCATATATATTCTCTTTCTTATCAGAAGGAGATGTTCTGGGGCAATTTGGTATCAGTGAAGTTGATGGGAAATGGAAGGTTTTTTCCAAGAAGCTTCTGGACAGGGAAGAAACAGAAAAATATCTGCTCAAAGTCATGGTATCTGATGGAAAATTTCAAGCAGCCACAGAAGTGGAGATTTTAGTCCTTGATGTTAACGATAACAGCCCTGAATGCAAGCAGGTAATTGTAGATCTATGTAAAAGGCTTCATTCTGAAATTATACAAACATGTATGCACAGGCTCTATATTGATATGGTGCCAGAGTTGACCTGGAGAATACACAATTATGGAGCAATTATTTTAATAATTACTCACCTGCACAAAACTTCTATTACTCATTTTGGAGGATTCATGAATTATTATTACCTTGGAATAACATAATGTTGGATAGCATTAGGGTAACAGGAAGGAGCCCATCTGTAACACTTCAGTGTTATTGGTTCACAAACAGGTATATTGTTCATGTGGATTAATGTTAACTTGATAAAATAATTTTCTTCCTTTCCAGACACTATACGAAGGGAAAGTTTCAGAGGTTGCATCCCAAGGATTTTCTGTTCTTAAAGTGTTGGCTACAGATGTCGATGCTGGTAGCAATGGTCAGATCACTTACAGCCTTCATGGAGTTGGTGCTGAGGATTTTAGACTGGATTCTTATACAGGTAAAATTATTACATCCTTTTAAAGGAACAGTTTTGCTGTTCATACTCATTCCTTCACCACATATTAGAATTAATAATATAGTTTGCTCCTGTTTACTATAAAGCAGAGGTAGGCAGACTTTTCGATGTATCTTGAAGACTTCTTCAATTGAAATATTAAGACTGGTATTTCTCTCTTCTGTCCTCTTATTGTAAAATGTTGGTAGGATTTTCCCAAGAAAAACTATTTAATTTAGTGTAAAATATTATTCACTTCTCATGCACCAAAACTTACTGTAATAGTCTTGTCTAGTGTTTTCCTTCTTGTTCTTAGGATGCAAGAAGACTTTGCATTAAGAAATCCGGTTTCCTTGGGTACTACCTTCTAGGGCTCCTATAAAACTTAAAATAGATTCATTCTTTGTGTGAATGAGTATGCATGGGTATTTTTTTACAAAATAGTCTATAAAAGATTAGCCCAAATCTGAAAAGTTATTACAATTTATTTCACTTTATTGGCCACCCAATCCCAGTGGAAAGACAAAGATTCCTTAGATATCAATCCATAGAATATTATAGTTTTTAGATAATACAATTCTAAAGAGTTCTGTGATGCCCATGAATAGGGGAATAAAAGATATACCGTATTTGCCGGCGTATAAGACGACTTTTTTGCCCCGAAAAACATGCCTCCAAGTGGGGGGGTCGTCTTATACGCCGGTATATCCACTGCCGGCTTTCGGATGCTTGTTGGACGCAGCGAAGGCGCCTCTGGCTTCCTGGATCCCCTGCGTCGCTTCCGCTTCATCCCGCTCGCCTCGCTCCGCCCGAGGCTGCAGCCTTCCTGCTCTTCCCACGGCCCCTGGCACTCTGCCCTGCCGCTGCAGCCCCGGGGATTTCTGGAGGGCGTTTCCGGTGGTGGTGGGGGGGGTCGTCTTATACGCCGGGTCGTCTTATACGCCGGCAAATACGGTATTTTTTAATCTTTGGTAAGCATTTATAGTCATATCCTTTTTTCTATTTGCCTGGCTCTATTTCTTAAAATGTTTAAAAATGTACAGTTGCATAGAATAAATTTTGCCCATAATGATACTGAAAGTCCTGCACCAAATCTTTGTCTTCCAACTATACTTACTAGGAGAACTGACTACTTCTACGTTATTGGACCGGGAACTGAAATCAAAGTATCACCTTGTTGCCAAGGCAACAGATGGAGGGGGGCGTTTTTGCCAGATGGAAATTACTGTGCATGTAGACGATATAAATGACAATGCTCCCAGGTTCTATCCCAGTCATTATGCTGTAGCCATATATGATAATACATCAATAAAAACGCCCATTGCAGTTGTTTTTGCAAAGGATCCTGATGAAGGTAAGTTGTTCCCAAATCTTAAGTCATGTGTGGTTGTTTTCAATGCTTAAAGGAGATACATGTTTTTGTTTTTGAGGTTACCTATTAACTTTTTCTTTTAAGTGAATAGATGCTGGGTCAGCTTGATAGATTCACAACAGATTTCTACATTGGTGACATCTTTATATGTAACATAGTATTTTTTAATAAATAAAAGATTGGGAAATAATAACTAGTTGTAGACCTGTTATGTAAGAGGAGATGGAATGTATCATGTATTTGAGATATATTTTTCAACATTCAATCAGGCTGGACATTGTATGTTGAATGTTAATGGTATATTTGTTATTTGTTCCACACACTTTTTTATTATTGTACTTTGTTCAGTTGTGGTGGGGGGGTGTTCATTTTTAGTTTGTAGTTGATGCCTTCTTTTTTCTTTTCTTTTGTATTTTAACTTTGGAGATATTGTTTAAAAAATTAAACAAATAAGTCATGGCAGGTACTAGTTTCCCTTCCGTTCATCCCATTTCTAAAAGAATAATTCCCGAATCAAGTGAATTCTTGCATGACGTTTCTCGTTTGATATTTTCCAGGTCTCAATAGTGAGGTGAGGTATCACCTTGCTGAGTCAGCTAATGGCCATTTTTCAGTCAATGAGGTAACTGGTGTAATCCTTCTAGAGAAGCCTCTTAAGGAATCCCCTTCAGTTCTGGAGTTGACTGTGTTGGCCGAGGACAGGGGGGTTCCACAGTCTCTCTCTTCCTTTACTACTGTGACTGTCTCAGTTGTGGATCTAAAAGAATATCTGCCAGTATTTCTCAGCACAGAATATTTAATTGAGGTAAAGGAGAATGTGGCCGTTGGGACAGAAGTTTTGAATCTATCTACCTTGACAAGAAGTACTGTTGCAAACACGGAGATTAGATATGAAATCACAAGCGGAAATTATCTTGGGAAGTTCAGGCTCCATTCAAGCACTGGTGAGTTCTTTGTTCAGCAAATAATCCAGTCTACCAATTGTTTTCTTATAACAAGATTGATTTTATCCCTGTTCTATTTCTTTACTAATTTAATTATGAACATATCAAGATTTCAGACAGAGAAGGAATTTAGAGATATGTCAAAGCTATTCTTCATTCCTTGTATTCACTTTTTAATGTTCCTACTCAAAACTCAATAAATGTTGAAATTTCTAATTAAAAATATTGATTTATCTGAGATAAGTTGATGTGCCCATAAAGCAGTTCATGTGGCAATCCTATTACCACTAGATGGCACCCAATGACCATCAAGTTTGGGTTGCTTGATTGTTGTGAATGGTTAAAACATTTCAAAGTAGCCAGTTTGCATAAGAGTTTCGGCTGTTTTAATTTGTGTGTGTGTGTGTATGTTTAATTCTATCTTTATTCGTAGGCATCCTGTACATTAATGGAACTCTGGATTTTGAAGTTGCCCATGAATATTATTTAACCATCGAGGGTATACGAAAAACTTCTACATCTTTCAGTGATGTCACAATGATTTTGATCAACGTCACAGACATAAATGATCATGTGCCAGAATTTGGCCAAGATCTCTATATTGCCAACATCAGTGAGGATGCAGCCATTGGTGAAATAGTGTTCACGGTGAGACATAATCACAATCAGGGTGGACAACATTCTGTGGGATGCAAGCCACATTTTACAGTGTTGCACAGGGGTCTGCCTTTTGTGTTTTTCTATCTGGATTTTTGAGGGATGTTCAGGAAGACCTATTGCTATTAGAAGTTACAATTATTCCTACTTCATAGCTTGCAGTGTGGTTTGTATTATTTTTGCTCAAAATGACAGGAATCTACCCTACTAATTGTTGCACCATCATTAACAGTGGAATCCAGGGACCTGAAAAACGGCTTCAGGGTCTGCTTGCCCAGGCAATCTTTTCCTGACTAAAGCCATGCCAAAATGATGAAACATACACCATAACATTATGATGCAACTTCCAACTTTTCATAGTTATTTTTATTGCAGTACTGCAGGCCAGGGCATAAGAGGCAGAGCTTGCTTCATGTCATCATTATATATATTTTGTCACTGGCACTCCCACTCCCCTTACTCTGTAGTTCCTATGCCTGTATATGGCTTTGGGACTATAGGTTGTCTAAGCCAGGCCCATGCTGCAAACTCATTTCTCTGCTCTCATTTTGTGTTTTGCTATCTTGGAAGAACTATGAATTGAAGGATGCATAGAACAGTTGACTCCTGTTAACAGGGAAATGGTAAAGACAAAAACAGAATGGCATTGTTGAAGTCAAATTGGCTATCTCTCGTCTTTTCTATTATCAGACAAGGCTACTAGAAACCAGTTTGATATTAGAGGGACGGAGGGAAGGGAAGGGAAGGGAAGGGAAGGGAAGGGAAGGGAAGGGAAGGGAAGGAAAGGAAAGGAAAGGAAAGGAAAGGAAAGGAAAGGAAAGGAAA